GCCTTCAAGGAAGCAGAGACGGTATTTCAGGAGTGGAAGACAAAGCGAAGAGCATTTGAGGTATTTTACCATTTAAAAATAACATTTTCAAGGAGATGCGCTAGGAATCATAATTGAAGACAGGACCTTGGAAAAAGTGCTCAAGACAACAGCATGCCGCAAGAGGAAATCATGGATCAGTGTCATGTACCAGGGCCATCCTCCTCCCTCCTACTTGTGCTGTTTTGACCAGCATGGCCTCAATGCAGAAGACGTAGCTTTTTCCAAAGCCAATCCCTATAGGCCACCAGGTGGAGCCCAACAGTCACACAAAACAAGAGCCCCCTCCTCAGCCTGATCTGCTGTTTCTCTACTAGCCCACTAAGACAAAGCCCCCTGGTAACGGGCCATCTGAAGTCCACGTTTGCTAAGGCAAGTTCACAGCATTACATAATTCAGTGTCGACCTCAGCAGCTCTGAAATAAGAAATCTGCTCTTGAGAAGGTGAAACACCCCATTTGGGTAGGAAAGAGATTGGCTCGAGCTATTTTTGAGTTTGCTGATCTTGAAGGAAAGCCTCCTACCGAGCAACTGTCTTATTTTCCCACTAAATACAGTATGTTGGCCACCTCCCCAACTTGTACCTACACCACAAGCAATTCAGGATCTATCGAAACGGAACAGAGTAGTCAAAGTATTTCTTTGCATCAGTCTGCAAGTGTTTCTGATTGTCTGACGACCGACCATAAGTTGAGGAGACGCCAGACCAGAACCTCCCCCCACACACACACACACCTCTTGCTCCACCACCCACATCATTAACTGGGGCTTTCCTCTTCTCCTTTCACCTCCCCTCGTCACTCACTCCAGCGGACCCTGCTGTCCTTCACTCTCACCAAGACTAGTTGCCCGTTCTCTAGTTTTAATTTCAACAGTTTCCCATTAAGTCTATACAATCCATGTTCAAGCAAAGATTTCTCAATCCTGTTACATATCCCTGGTCTACTTCTTCCTCCACCCACTCCCATGCCTCCAAAGCTACCAGAGTTTGCTAGAAAGAGCAATAGAACTATGGCAGTTTTATCAAGGTCAATTCATGTCGTGTATCTTCAGTTAGGCTTCAGTGTTGCCAAGAAACACTATTATGTGCCCCACAGAAGCTGCTGTAAAATCTTTTTATTCTCAAGACCTATCCTTAAATATCCAAGAAGCAGCAGCCATGAAAAATCTAAGAGAAAGTGACCGTATTTCCCTGCTTATGACTTCTTGGGGGAAAGCTGGGGCTGTTAACGCTAATTTCGGACAGCAAATTTCACCAAGTTCTGAGAAAATACAGGCACAAATCCCACTGAAAGAGTTTCTAAAGGCAAAGATCATTGAACAGAGTTGGGAAACTCATCCATAAATCTGATTATACAAATGCAAATCATTCTGGTGAGAAAACCAATGTTTTGGACAAGAGTTCTCACACGTCCTAGGTATACTGTGATGTAGGGATCTCTAACAGCCAGCGAGGGCACAGTGAGGACAGATGACCTTTGGGTTTTTACAGCATTACAGGGCTACGAGTCATGAGAATGTGGTAGAGATGGTGGAGAGAGAGCTGAACATGCCTCAGCTGAGATAGCTCATGAGCGTTCCAAGAACAAGGTGGAAAATAACTTTCTCACACTTGAAGGTCTTCAACACTGTCATTCTCTTTGAGCTCCCCTTAAATGGAGGCACCACTGGCGGCGTCAGAGAGGCAACATTTACACTGGAAAAAAAAAATGCAACCATTGCCGTGGAGTCGGATCCAACTCATGGTGATCCCTCCGTGGGTTTCCAAGGCAGTATCACTACGGAAGTAGATTGCCCAACCTTCCTTCCGAGGAGTGGCTCGTGGGTTTGAACCTCCAGCCTTCTGGTTAGCATTCAAGTGCTTTAGGCACTACACAACCAGAGCTCCCCATATACACTGACGGGGTAGCCAAAGCCACTTACGTCATATATTCTCTTAATGTACGTGTTGTATTCAATCTTATTGTTAAATTTGCGAAACTGACCCTGGCTGCCTTTTTCGTTCTGAGCTCCTCCTGAGACCTGCCTCCATCCATATCCTGCCTGAGTTTCAAGAGAACCACCCACTTCTTAAATGAACCCTCTCTTTGACTTAAATTAGCTCACGTGGTACTCCATCTCCTAGGATCAAACCATCCCTGGGACACTGGTGCCCAAGTCCTTCTGCATCACACTGTCATTTCCTTGACTAAAGAAAACCATAGCTTGGTTACTTTTGTATCTCACATCCTTTAATACAGTGCCTTACACAGAGTAGCTCAGCACACATACAGTAAACTGAATTTAGCTACAGAAGCAATAATGACTTTGCACTTGAGTTGTTAGGTACCAGGGAGTCAACTCCAAGTCATAGCAACCCTGTGGACAAGAGAATGAAACGCTGCCCAGGCCTGCACCACCCTCACAACCACTGCTATGTTTCAGCCCATTGTGGTAGCCGCCATCTTCAATCCATCTCATTGAGGGTCTCACTCTTTTTCACTTCTACTTTACCAAGTATGATGTCCTTGTCCAAAGACTGGCCCCTCCTATAATTAGCAGCAATTACATAAACAGAGGAAGTATAATACTGGTAAGTGGACAGGTATAGTGGGGCAGGGAAGAAATTCAGAATGATGTCACCACAGCTAAACTTGGTTTTTAAACATAGTTTATGCAGAAGCCAGTCACACACACACACACACACACCCAGAGCAAGTACCACCTTCACGTTTCTGGTCAAGAGCTGGCACAGGGGAGGGAGGGAACCCAGGCAGGCAAAGCACAGCGTGTTCGGACTGGGAAACGGTGAGCTCAGTGCCTAGAGATCAGTAACTGATAGCCAGAACAAAACGGCAGGGCGACCACCAACACGCAGGACAGCTGCAGCCCGCCCCTCGGGAGACATCAGTCAGCTGAGAACTGTGTCAGGAAAGCCTGCCACACCTTCTTAAAAGAGTTTTTCTCTTTTCTGCAAAGATTTGAAAAGGCGTATATCCATAAAAGACTGTTTTCAATGTCTCTCCAATGAAGGTAGTGAAAAAGTACACTCCTTTTTCCATATGAATATGAGAATGTTCACATTTTTTAATTTTGAAAAAATTACAGGATTCATCTCTGACTATATTTTTCAACAGCTTTTCTTTCAATGTGGCCAATGGGCTTCTGCTTCGAAAGCCTCCTTTTTTTTCTGTTGCTGTTGTTGTTGTTAAACTTGACCCATGAGAAAAGGGTTCTTGATGAAATAATAGCTCAGCTGTCAAAAGGGGCCGGGAAGGCCATGCAAGTAGTGAGAGCAACTCCCCCAGGAAGACTTCCTGGCCACACCCTCAGCACTTGAAAACTAAGGAAGCAGTCCAATCAAGTGTGTACAATGGATCTCGCAGACTGGGCAGATTAAGACAAGGCTGGCTCTCCAGGTCAGATATGAAAGTCTTCCCTTTCTCCAGCCAGAGAGTGGCGAGTGCACTTAACAGGAGCCATGTGTCCCGGCCATTGTCGAGCCTTTGGATTTGATGGTGAGAAACTGGCAAACCTCGGAGAAGGTCGACTTAGGGCTCCAGGGTTGATGTCACTTTTGGATAATGAGTTAGGCTAGAAAAACGATGACAATGCAGCCTCGCCACTTGAGAGCAAAAAAGGCAGCACAGCTGTCCCTGGCACCTCGGAGACCACGTAAATCACACTGGTACTTATTCAACCAAAAAGGTGCCACAGGGTAGTGTTTCTTAAGTTGCCTTGGGTATAGCACACAGGTTTGGCTTGGCTCACTTCACTAGGCATCGAAGGCAAAGTACAGAATCGACACGCTCAGAGCAGCACCTGTGGGGCCATCTGGTGTCAGTGTTCGCTCTCAGAACCACTTCCCAGTGGGTCTATCCCACACAAGTCAGATGGCCAACAACCATGTCATCACACTGCACTCAAAGCAAATGTCCGGACAAACACTTCTCTAGCCCCTATCCTTTTATTTCTGTTTCTAATGAACCATAAGCCAGACACCATCAATAATAAAGGGTTAAAGATATATTTAAGATTTAATACTGCTTTTCTTGGAAAATAAATACCAGTTGTGAGAAGAAAAAAATGATCACACACTGGGTCCAACTCTGAATGAAGGGCCATCTATGATGCTCTGTAATCTACAGTTAGGTTACAGTGGTTTCTAGAAGCTTCCAGAGAAACATGGTACCCTTTCCTGATTTTTTTATAACTTTTATTGTGATTTGGGTGAAAAGTTTACAGAGCAAGTCAGTTTTCCATTGACAATTCATACCCATTTTGTTTTGTGACACTTACTCCTTGTGTTTACCATTTCTTTTCATCTCGCTTTCCTATCCACTCCTGCCGTCTGAGCTGTACTCCTGGACAAATGCTGCCCTTTGGACGTCACATGGTTGACTGTTCTAAGGAGCGTGTACTCTGCTGGTGTCACTGTTCACCTCCCAGGACGACTGTCTGGCTGTAGTTCCAGGCTTGGAGGATCTAAGGGCCACAGTCTCAGGGGTAGGCTAATTTAAATTCTAATGCCACAGGTGAAACCTCTGAAGATGAACATCAAAAAGGCAAATCATTCAAAGATACCCTCATGTTCATATTTCAAGGCAAAGGAGACAAAGGACCCCTGGATACCCTTGGAGTTTTGCGTATTTCCCCACTGGAGCCAGAAAGGAGGGCTCAGACTGTCTGATGCGAAGAACTCCCTGGGGTAACCAAGTGCAAAAGGATTCACAGCAGAGCAGGAAGTCAGCAAGGGCTCACGGTGTGCTTCTGTGCCACGCCAAGACACAAAACTGTAAACCAACTGCCTGGCAACTCAAGAACCTACACGTGACCACTGCAAGTGACAGCTGAGGGCCATTTCTGAAAAACGAGGACCTAAGTCTGCCAAGTACCAATTGAGAAAGAAAAGGGTTACCTACGAGCCACTGAGACTGAGTTCTGCCTGGGATCCACAGCCTGTCTCGCCAGAGATCACCTACCCCAAGGCAAAATTGCTGTCCTCCTTCCAGTCCACAATGCGGCAGATGAACAGAGTGTTGGTGTAGTCTTTGGGCCGGGTCACAAAGTCCTGGGGGCAGTCCTTGAGAGGCACATACATCCTAGGCACTCGGTGGTCAGAAGGGGAAAACAGGGCATACTTCCTAAAGAGCTCACTGTTCTTGTCAGCCAGGAGCTTGAGGAGGCCCGTGGCCGCTCGGGAGTGTTTTCTCTCCAAGATGTAAACCACCTGAAAACACCAAAGACAACGAGGTCAGTATTGTTTCTCTGCAGAACACGGTAACAGTTGAGAGAAGTCAAATGGGTACTTGATCAAGGAGATGGTCCAGAAGTTTTTCTAGCTCAAAACGAAGTGGCTCTGAGTGATGCTCTCTGACTAAGTAATCTATATTTCAGTTGCAATAATTCAAATGTCCAGTAAGCATACACATCCAAGAAAAAACTGCAACACACGGAGGAGTCAGCTAACCAATGTTTTAGGAAGATCGTGGAAAACCCCAGCAAAGAGTCAGGCTCCACCCTGAGCTCAGGTGTGTGCTCTGCACTTGGCTTTATCTCATGTGATCAATCTGAGTATTTTACACAAACAAAATAACAGCTTCTTTTCAAAATAGGCTATTGAACATAAATGCATCACTACTGTTCTTTATAATGCCTTTGAAATTGAAATATTTAGCCTTCCTTCTTACCATGATGAAACCCAGTCTTTCATCTGGCCAGGAAGGGTCAGGCCTCCACACCACTGTTACGCACAAGCTAGTCCCACAAAGAGAGAAGTGCTCCTGGTGCAGTGAAATCTTCCCCCTCACCCACCCTGAGAAGGGCTTCTCCTTGCTGGACTGTGTCTTCTCCTGTTGCCGTTTCTGGTTCGACTCCTCACCTGCTACACATGTGAACTCTCACCTCTGCGCTCCCATCACATCTCGTATATGCTTCTATCAGAGCAGTCACTGTATTTATCTCATTCTCACTCTTTACATGCCTGTCTCTTCCTCTAGACCAGGGATCGGCAAACATTTTCAGTAAAGAGGCAAAGAGTAAGTATTTTAGGCTTTGCTAGCCAAAAAGCAAAAATCAAGGATATCATGCAGATACATAACAAGAGAGAAAGGAAATTTCTGAAAATTTTTAATTGCCGAAATTCAATATTTAATAACACAGTGCATACTTTTGTTATACAAGGGCACTGAAGAGAAGACTGGAATTTGTTTTGGTGGGTAACATTTTGCTAAGGTGAGGTTTAATGTTCTTATCATCAAAACTGACCGCAGATATCCTCCGTCAACGTTGATCTACAAAGCGATTTTACCAGTTTCATCTTTGGAACACCTGTTCACGTAGACAGGCACTTCCAGATCCTGCTATGAATCCGCAAGCATGTGCTTTGGAAGGAGGGTCGTTACCACAGGAGGCCGCCAGAGAATCCTATTAGAGTCTTCTCTTCATCTTGGCCTTTTTAAGCCTGTGGTTACGCTTCCCAGGAATCACCTGAAGATGAGATGGAAACTCCTTAACTGCCCCCAGGAGGCCCCATCACTATGTTGCTCTTCAGTCCTGGGATCCCAAACCAATTAATGTACCTTCCTCTTTTCACCTTTTAAGTTTCTAATTTTCCTAAATGTTGCTTTCCTAGGAGTTAGGAATACTGTGAAAAGTCCTGAGTTTGGCAATATCCACATACATGATACTATTTTTAAACACTGTTTTTTTCATCTAGTTTGGTAACAAAATATTCCATACTTCATTGTGCCTTAAAAGTGTGACATTCAGAGTCCATTTTTCTTATTTTGATGACTACGCAGTAGTAATAAAGTAATAGTAATAATACATTACAACGTGGTGACACAGATGGTACATGCAATGCTGCTGCCTTATAACTGTATCACTGAGACTCGCAGTGTGCTGAGCAGCTGGGGTATGCGGCCTCTGCTGCAACTACCCAACCCTGCTCTTGTAACAGCCAAACAGCCACAGACAATTCATAAACAACTGAGCGTGGCTGTGTGCTCATAAAACTTTATTGACAGACATTGAAATTCATGTAATTTTCACGTGTCATAAAAGCTCCTTTTATTTTTTTCCCAATCATTTAGAAATGTGGGAACCATTTTCAGGCTGAGGCCCACACAGAATCAGGGAGTAAGCTGACTTTAGCTTGCCGATCCTTACTCTACACCAGGAATCACATCCTGAAATGCCAACACAGGCCAGGGCAGAAAGAGAGAGGCAGAGAGGGCGCAAGGGTACCAGCAGGGGCATGAGCAAATGGTAGGATGCACTGCCATCTGCAGAACGTTGCCTCCACACACCTGGCTGCCTAGTCATTTAGGAAAGTGGCTCAGTGCTACCCGGTGTTTGGTTTGACAAGAAGAGGCAGGAGTTTCAGCAGTTTTGTTTTCTTTTGCTACTAAGTCAAAAATTTGAAACACCACACAGGTACAGGTCTTGAGCCAGCTAGCACGTGGCCTAGTATGAAGTTAGTACTCAAAATGCTTACAGACAGAAAGATCTAGACAACTGGGCAAGCAATGGGGTAACAGACATGAAATACAATTTAAAAATCCCTCATGTCGAGATGCAGGAGCCACTCTCCAAACAGACTTGCTGGAGTCAGTGACACTGCCTTCCCAGGTGAAACATGCTGACCGATGCTCCTGGTACCTGCAGCCTCACATAGTGAAGCCACCGTGTACTTTGTCTTTGCACCACTTTTGCCACCATGAGCTATTTGTGTAGTTTGAGTCAACTGTTTGATTCCACAACTGAATATGCCAGTAGCATGTATTATTAGGAAATCAAGCTGAATTATGCAGAACAATAGAACAGGCATGCAGAAGAAAACTGTTGTTTCTATGATAACCAAACAGAATCCTTTGAAAAAAAATTTTTTTAAAGATTATTAAAATTTTCCTTTCAAAATATAAATGGACATGTGCTAACAGGGCAGGGAGGCAGCATCTTCTGACCTTCTCCAGTCTCAGAAACAGGAAACAGAGTCACCATCAACAGCCCGAAGCTTATTCCTATGAGGCCAGACATACCACCAGCCTCCAACCTTTTTACTAATTCTGACACCAGCCAGCCTTCCCTCCCACAGCATTCCCTACTTCTCTGCTGGGCTCGATAATTCGTTGCAATGGCCACACAGGACTCACAGTCAATACCGACGATTCTGGGGTTTATTAGGGAAGTAACAGGTTACAGTTCAGGTTCAGGAACATGCTCAGGGTACAGTTCTTCCATCAGGACAGCCTCCCCCCTGCTGTGCCCCCAGGCCTGCCTCTCTGGCCCCTGGCCTCTCAGCCTGGCCTCTGCCCTGCTTGGGCAAGAGTTACAAAGCTCTTTTAGCTCTGCCAATAGGTACACCTATGTGCATCCTACTCCCTGAGCAAGGCTCCTGCCCAAAGGCACTCAGTTTTCTCGCTGTGTGGTCCAGGTAAGCCCACCACTCCGTCTCATGCCTCTCAGTCTTCAGCCAGTTCTCTGCTGGGTTACCTCTGACCAGGAGGTCAGCGCAGGGGTCTCGGGTCCAAGGACGTGCTCCACTTCCCCTCCAGCTCTTCCCACTTGATGGCAGTGAGATCCCCTCTCCGCCTCTAGGAGGGCTCATGCTCAGCCAGGCAGAGTGGCAAAACTAACCAATCCCAATATCAGTGTTCTACACACCTTATTTGCATGGCCATATCCAGTAATCCAGGAGCTCAGGTAGCGTAGTGCCTAAAGCACTTAACTGCTAACCAGAAGGCTGGTGGTTCAACCCACCAGCCACTCCTCGGAAGGAAGGTTGGGCAATCTACTTCTGTCGTGATACTGACTCAGAAACCCAAGGAGGGGTCGCTTTGAGTTGGGTCCAACTCGACGGCACATTACAACAACAACAATCCAGTAATCCAATGGGAGTTACAAAGACTGTGACTAGAAAAGTAATTCACTGCAGCACAACATGACAACAACAAACAAAAGTAGAGCCAGACAATGTAACACTCTAGGTGTCACCTACATTCACAATGCTTCACCAGTGTCTAACTTCTCACTCTAAATACCAACAGATGTCACCTGTAAATGTGGTTCAAGCAAGCAAGAGAATACAGAGCTCCAATCACACACCCACCCTCAAAGGCCCTGGCCCTACATCCAAAGATGTAGTGAGTATCTGTCTGTATGTTGAAAGCCACGAAAAGTCCCTGTGCTTGCTTCCCTGCCTCACTGACTTTCCTGATGAAGTGACCAACTGCGGTCCTGCCTGCGTCACATGAGGGGCCTGGGACCAGCAGCTCAGGTGACAGCCATCTGGACAAGTGGAGAAAATCGGGAGGCAATGACCTTTGCTGATTTTTGCAGTGTCTTCTCTGGGGAAGCTCTGGTGTCTTGTGAAGGGAAGGTGTTCTCGTCTTTTGTATCTCGTGTCCCCGCACACTCTCTTCCTAAATTAAAGAGAGGAGGGAAGGAGGGAGGGAGGGAGAAAGGGAAAGAGGGAGATGGGGGGGGTGGAGAGAGAGAAGGGGAAATGGAAGAAGAGGAATCCATTAGATGCATATCCATTAGGCACATGGAGATGGAAAAGTTCTTGGATCCCACTGTCCCCAAACTACTAATTTCACAGAAAACAAGATGCAGGCCCATGGCAGCTAAGTGATGCGGCTGAGGTCAATCATGTCACATAGCTGCATGAATGCTCACAGCGAGCATTCAGCTTCAACAGGCCACATTTCATCCAGTTAATGTTTTTTTCACACGCTAATAAGCAACATACAAGGGGAGCGCATAAAGCTAGGATGAATTAAACTCAACGGTCTGTGTGACAAAATGCCACAGAACTTGATGTTATGAAGCACTCACTGCCCAGCCCACAATGAAGAAGAGTGATAGGTGAGATTATTATGCACATCTGCTGAAATAAAACAAAATCAAATGTTAACTTTTAAAGTACTCTGGGACCAGCCATTACAAACAAAATGGTGGAAAATAGATAACGTTTATTAAATAAATTAAAACAAACAAACAAAAAAAACCCAACCCAGATTTTCCTGGCTTTTCTCAGTGGCATTATATAAAGAGTAAAGTACTTAAAGTCTTTTAATGTTTCATTTCTCTGTTTAAAAAACCTTACAAAATGCACATTCACCCAGAAACTGAAATCACACCTCCCAGTAAGAGCAGGAGACTCCACACCAAAGGGTCCAAAGCCCTCCAGAACACAAGAGGCCAATGACACTATTCCCAACACTTCATGGTTTGTATTTTCTTTCTTTCATTAGATCCTGCCCCCCACCCCACTCCCCACCCCCACCCTCCAAAAATCAATTCTTCTCCAACTACGCTGGAGTTTCTGGATGCTAAGGGTCACAACCAATTCATGTGGGACCCACTCCAGATAGCCAAGGGAGACAGACTTATCTTCATTTAGGCGTCACCAGAGGCCAAAATAAATAAATAAATCCTTTCAAGACTGGCTGCCTCTGAGCAAAGACTCAGATGAAAGCCAACTTTTACCACTCTGGGCGTTCTCTGGAAACACTGACATGATCTGACCTACTGGGGCTTAAGAATGATCAACTGTTTGCTTTTCCATCTACGCTGAAATCACTTACCCACCAAAGTGCCCACCGAAAGCAGATTTCTCATTGTTTTCCAAAAAAGAAAACAATACCAAAAATTTTCCCACTGACAATCATACTGTCCATGAGTGAAAAGGTAAAACTGTTTCTTTTAGACCTGGTTCAAGATTCCAAAATCATCAAATGCTTCTAGAACAACATCTGTTATCATCTTTGGGAGAAAAAACACCCACATTCATTGACGATCTGTTTCATAACATACCCTGCCAAGGTGCTCTCGGGAAGAAGGTAATTAAGGAAAGATTGTGATGCTGGCGTTGTCATGAACAAGTACACCCTACCTAGATATCTGACATCTGCACAGTCCTCCTTAAGACAGGGTAGTGACAGGACTGGTTTGTCCAAGGCAGCCCCAACCCTGAGCAGCACCTCTCTGAGAAGGCCACTGATGATTCCACCTCAGGTGACCATTGTCTTTCAGACTTCACCTCAACAAGGCAGTCTTCTGTTCCAAAGGTTATGCCAGGCTACAGCCAGAAACAGAGGGTGAGCCAAGGAAGTGAGCCCAGTCATGGTGTTCAGATCTCACACCTGAACATGACCTTCTCATGTTCTGAGCTCATAAGGAAATCCTAGCAGAAATAAGGCTTTGTTTAAGGATGTAGCCTAATAAATCACTCTGAAGTTTACAGCCTTGCAAGCGAGCATCACAGGTAAGGTCAATGAACATGAAGCAGCATGGTGCCAGGATGGAAAGGTGAATCATCTTAACGGGCTTCCAACAACTATATCTTACCACTGGGATAACAAAGTTGCCAATTTAATAAGGAGATCTGCCACATTGTTTCATCACAGATTGTTTAGTCCCAAGATCATGTACTTACACTTTATTATGTATTTACTGAACATTGGGTGATTAAAAGAAAGACAGGCCCTGCTCTCACAGAATTCATCGTCTAATGTGAGAGCAGTTAACTGATTAACATGACACACTGGCTGCGACAATGGGCCCAGACACAGCAGACTGGGAGGACTGCGCAGGACCGGGCAGGTGTTCGTTCTGTCGTGCACAGGAACTGCCTTGATGGCACCTAACAACAATGGAGAGATTGTGGCAATGACTGTGAGGATGACAGGCCAGGCAAGGTTTCGTCCTGTTGTACACGGGGTCACTATGAGTTGGAGCCACCGTGACGGCTCCTAACAACACTATGAAATTAGAATTGTAATGAATGCAGAGGGGAAGACCAGCCACAGGAGGCAGGGGAGAGGGCTCACGTGACTGAGATTAGGGGTCAGGGAAAGGCCTCTGAGTAAGCGACATGGAGGACTACGGTGTGTGTAGGAGTGACGAAGGGGACAAAACGCTGGGTAGGGAATGGCATGCGGGAAGGGTGGAGGTGGGAAGCTCTTGGTGAAATCAAGGAATAGAAAGGTCACATGGCTGGAGCACAGTAAGCAAGAATGAGCCTGGCGGGACCTAAGACCGGCAGCAGGACCCGAGTCAAGTCAGGTGGGGCATAATAAAAATTCTCAACTTAAACCAAATACGGTGGGAAAGTGGCTAAAGATTTGGTGCAAGGATGTGATACTACCCTCAATAAGATGGAGCAGGCTCAAACGAGCTGTAGGGAGAGTGGCTCAGGGCTCCTGCAGGGGTCCAGGCACGGCCGCAGCGCTCCCGGCTGCAGGCACTGGGGTGGAATCCCAGGGATTGGCTGCAGACATGCAGACAGACATTATGGGAGCTCAGTCTGAGCACAATTACGTGCGGAAAGGAAAGGGTTACGCCAGCTTTCCAACATCCACCACCAGGCTGGTGCAGGCATCACTACTGGGACAGCAGAGACGAGAGGAGGGGCTGAAAACCGAGAGCTGACTTCAGACGTGCTCATACGTGAGGGGCTCCCTGGGGCACCTTCAAGTGATGATGCTGAGTAAGCTGTTCAACATGGAGGTCTGCAACTCAGCAGAGACCTGCCTGTGGTTTTAGATGCGTCTGCTATCCTGAGGACGTCCACGTTTATGCTCGCCAGCCTGAGCTGCACACAGGACGTTGCAACCAAGCCTGTTCCAACCCTGGGTCCCTGCAGCTCCTCCACTGCTCCCCACAGCGATGGGCAAAGTCAGGAATAAGGTGCTGCCACTGTTAAGGAAGTAAGAAAATGTGGCTAAGGAGGCACCTGGGTTGGAGAAGACAAGTAGAAATTTGGAAGAGAGAGAAGGAAGTCGAAGGGTATTCCAGGCCACCAAGTGTGCCAAGGTCCAGAGTGTAAAAGGGCCTGACAAGGAGAAGGACAAGTAAGAGAGTTATTGTAGCTCGAACACAGGGCGGGGACACATGTACCGGGCAGGAAGGATCGGGGGTAGAGAAAGGGGTAAGGCTGGTGGAGCAGTGGGATGGGCCCTGGAGCACAGACTCCAACTGCTGGCCAATTATTCACTTTCTCCCTCTTTCTTCATAATGTTGTTGTTAGTTGCTATTGAGCAGTTTCAGACCCATGGCAACCCCGTGTTACAGAGCAGAACTGCTCGGCAGGGCTTCCTTGGCTGGAATCTCCACAGGAGTGGATCGCCAGGCCTTTCCACTGTGGTACCACTGGGGGGGGGGGTTTCCAACTGCCGACCTTTAAGTTAGCGGTTGGCCACAAATCATTTGTGCCACCTAGGGACCTGAGTAACAAGAACCCAAATTTTGAGCTGGGCACACTAGCTAAAAGACCACCTCAGCCTTCTTGCAACTAGGTGTCACTTGTATGGCTAAGTTTTACCCAATAAGATGCAGAGGGAGCGAGTCATTGAATTGTCCTTAAAGGAAGGAGGCCCAGCTTTCCCTCTTTCCTGCTTCCTGCTGGATGGAATGTGGATGTGACTGCTGGACCTCAAGCATTCATCTTGGGTCATGAGGCCACAGGCCACAGCTGCTTTCTACTGTGCAGAGCAGCAAAAGAGAGAAGGAGCCTGTGGCCTAGTCAGCCATCCTGCAAGCCCTGCCTGCCTACCTGTGATGTGAGATAGAAATAACCTTCTTTCTTCTTTAAACCATTGTTATTTTGGGATTTAATGCTATTCTCAGCAGAACACACTTACCAACTACAGGTCCAGATGATGACGTTGACAAGCTTAGACACTGTCTTGTAAAGCTTCATACCAAAAAGCCAAACCCACTACCATCAAGTCGATTCCAACGCATAGTGACCCTTTAGGGCAGAGTAGAACTGCCCTAGAGGCCTAAAGAGTTTCCAAGAGTGTAAATCTTCACGGAAGCAAACTGCCACATCTTTCCTCCATGGAGTGGCTGGTGGATTCAAACCGCCACCAGCCTTTTGGTTAGCAGCTGAATATTTAAGCACTGTACCACCAGAGCCCCTTTAAGGCCTATCAGGCCAAAGGGATTCTCTCAAGAGTTATATAGCACGTATACCTTTGAATGCTTTGGCTCTGGTAGCACATTGGAGTGGAGAAGATTGCTTGTACCAATGCCAACCACTCAGGAAAGGATCAAATCTGGAGATCCTGGATAGAGTGGGAGGGAAAATGTGGAACAAAATCCAACAACTCAATAATGACCAGAATTACTGGTCAGATGAAATCTGGTGAGACTCCCAATACTATGGCCCTGAAATGCATTCGGCCCCTGGAATAAAACTCACCCCCAGGGGTGGGCTCTCAGCCCAATGGTTAGCGAGATGCACACACAGACCACCCAACCCAGGATGCTGCACCCACACACTCAGTGGTAATACATCCCTTACAGCAATAGACCATGGGACATCAGAGGACCAACATTCAAACTGAGGAAATACAGGATGAACAAGTGCATAATTATGAGGGGTACAAGGGGAGGGTTGCAGGGTAGGGAGGGA